GAAGACCACTTTAGCTAATGGGGCCTCCTGCTGCTGCCGCGCCGCCGGAGCACGATTTCTGTTCTCATCCTTAAGCAAAGTTCTTAACCTGAAGCACTATTTCTGGTTAGCGGAACCTGAAGTGTATGTAACCTGAAGCATATGTAATCCGAGGTACCACTGTATCTCTGACTGGGAACTGCAGTGTGTGTTGTTTCAAAAATATCCATACTGAGGTTGGGTTTTTTTTAATAGCACACAAAACTACTCAAGTTCAGCTGAGCTTTGGAGCTGCCTTTCCAGAACCAGATTTGTTGTTGGTGATACGAAGTGACTGAAATGACCTGCTTGCACTCCATCCATCAAACACCTGGACAGGGAGCTTTCCACACAGTGATCAAAGCATGGCTTGCTGTGTTGATATATTGGCGAACCTATATGGGGCTGAGCACTGGGGAGTGATAGACAAAGAGGGTTTGCTGACTACAGACAGGCACATCTGTTTCAGGCTGACTTTCCAGATGAAGGCCGTCAATAATCAGAGCATACACGATCAGAACTGAAAAGTTTCAGATGATTTGTGCTCTTTGCTCAGTGTCTCTGCCACATGCAGTACTACCTAGTTTGGCAGGAGCCTCCTCTATAAATAAACATACACACACCTTTCTGTAAATGGCACACCCTTCTAATTTGCAAATCTCCTGCCAGCCCAGTCTCTTAAACAAAGCACAGGCACCTTTATAGTGCCATATGTCATGGCTTGTGACACTGTCAGAAATCAGAGCACTGTATCCTAGGCAAAGATAACAAAGACCAAGTGGGGGGGGCAGAGATGTGCAAGCAAAAAGACATGTGTGATGAGGAAAAGAACAGAGCTGCCAACTTTTTAACTAGCTATGGTATCATCTAGATTTGCATATATCTTGGTATTTTCTTGCATTCTGAGTTGCCCTTAACAGTAGCAGCCAACTGGTTAAAAAGTTCACTGCATTTTCTGCCCTCCCCCCCACTGCAAAAGAGTTTGCAGAACTTCAAAGCACCAAATGCCCCGATATCATTTGTAATGTCAGGTGACTGGCCACTGGGCAGCCCCGCCCACCAGTCAAATTTGGGCTGTGATGCAGATCTTGATAAGGTAAGTTGAGGGGAAATGTAGACCCAGAGCTCCATTCAGTGCCCCTGCTGGGCTGCTTGCCAGTAGACTGGGCCCACAGTTCCAGTGGACTGCTTTACCAAGGCCTCCCAAACTTATCCCTGGGCTTGATATAAAGGAGTATTTGCAGGCCGAAAAAATGAGGGAGCAGCAAGGAAGATGAATCCCCTTCAGGAGTTATTTTCCTATTTCCAGTTGCCTCCAAGCTGCTTTCTTCTCCATAGGTTTCCAGATATTTATTTATAAGGGTACATTCACAGATTTAATCCAGTCAAGGTGATGCAGGGGGAGAAATTGAGAACAAATTGGGATGGAAAATCAGCCAGTGGGACACCAACATACCCGCCAACATGCTGAGTCCCAAAACTGGGATGTGTGTCTTCCCATCCATGTTCCTGCGTAAATCATGTGATCATGGAGTCCTACAAACAAGCTATTTTCAGGGCTGTGCTCTCACAGCACCCCAAAATGTGTGTTTTGGGGCATTGCGTGAGATCGTCGCCCTCCAAAAAGAGCGTTCTTCAAGGCAATATCTCAGTGTGAAATCACAGCATCCCAAATGGCTGCCGTGCTCTTGCAGGAAAAAGCAGGATGTCCTGGTTTTTCCAGGACACTTTTGGGATATGCACCAATGTCATTCCTCCACTCAAAGAAACACACAGAAACACCTGTTGGGACTTTGTTGCATCGATTTGCATGTAATGTGTAGTTTGTCCTTGATCCTCATACAACAGGCTGCTACTACATTTTTATGCTGTTAACTGCCCTGTGATCTTTGAACTAAGGGTGGTATAGAAATTTAATATGTAAATTAAATTAATAAATACCACTGACAAAGTTCCAGGACTTAAGGCCCATCCATAGGGGCCTTCCATTAGGGATTATTCAGTTACTTTATAAAGTCTATTTATGCTGTGGTTACATGGTTATGAAGGCCATGAAATGATTTGCCAGTTGGAATTAGGCAGCAATTTGTATGAGAAACTGGCAGTGGTGTGAAAGGCAGCCATGGTTGATGGTTCCCTATGGGTACCAACAAGCTAGGGAAATTCAAGCATCTTTCAAGGCCATCTCTCAGTCAACCCTTGAGTGTGAGGTAAGTTTCATGTTCTTATTAATTTCATCAGAATATGATTGGTACTGGCTATCAGAGTGTTAGGCAACCAATCACGGGCCTTACCTCCTAGCAGAAATGGTGGGAAAATTGACAACTTTTCACCTTCTGTAAGGATAACAAACATTTGCTCTCGCCTGGATTCCCTGAGACAGTCCAGATGGAATTGTAGATGATGGAGGTCGTGTCCCTATGGAGGGTACCTCCTGCTTCATACAGTAAACTTTGGAATCTACCCATTAATATGCCTTAATTTAAAACAAATAAGCAGATAGCCAAATTTGGTTCACACAGGCTCTGTGTTTGTGCAGCATTTACAGTGTCAGGCTTCAGACAGCAGAAACTTCAGCCCTGGCCTTGGCTCAGCCTCCGCTCATATGAGGAATGTGAGACCTGATTGTGAAATCTGAGCTCAGCACTGAGAACCGCATTAGGTACCTTTCCTGTATCCTCTGTGAACACCCTTTTATATATATAACAAACAAAGCACATGTAAAATGATTCTTCACCGGCCCACATCCACACCCAGCTGACTACAGCATTTCCTAATTAGGTTATACTCAATCTTTATAATGGCCTGTTAGTAATAGATGTGGTACTAGAGGGTAATGATAATCTCCGCTGATATTATTCACTTCCCAGGAATGTAGGGCAGAAGCTGCTCTGCTGGCTTCAGCGGAGAACAATGGGAGAGAAGCGAACCAATAAAGCAGCTATGTCATCTTCTCTGGGCTGTGCAAATCCATGTTTGCTCTGTGATGTCTGACAAGCCGGAGGAGGAGGATAAAAATAATAACAATAATAGTTTGTAAAACCACCCTTCACTGTGATGCCGCAAGAATTTGGGAAGCTCTTAAAAAAGTTCACCGACTCAGGCAATGAAGATCTGGAATTGCCTGCTGTATTAAGAGAGTTGGAAGTCATGAATGGCTTCCTCTTACGTTTTTACAATGAAAGCAAAAATGAGCTAATATAAATAATTGTGGGCTAAACCCCAAGAATATTTTTATTCCAAATTAAAGACAGCAAAGAGCCCCATTATTCATTCCAGATACTGAGTGCTTTCAATTTACCCATGAAATCAGTTGATACTGAAAGTTCCTCTCAACACCTTGTAGAACTGGGGGCCCCAGCATATTAAAGATGAGTGCATTTTTAAAAATTGTGCTTTCAAAACTTACCCAAAGGAAAAGAGTCTGTTTACTGTTTGTAAAGTTCCCCTGTGAGCCATCCAATATAAGAGGGGCTTGTAATGTCGTTCACAGTCCTAGCTTGTGTCTCAGTAAAAGGATCTGTTCCTTTATGCAGAGTTGGGGAAGGAATCAACAACCTTGCATCAAACATTCCTTTAAGATGTACAAAAATAGTACATCTTATGGAGGGCCGGATTAAGACTTAAGAGGCCCTAAGCACTTAAAAGGTTTTGTTGCCCCCATATATCACATCTAATTCAAAATTTAAACACCAATAAAACATTAACATTATTAATAAAACATTAATAAAATTGTATTTTTTGAAATGAAACGAAACCTAGGCACAGTAAAATGGAAAACGATGTTTGTTTTTGCATACTTCCACTATATTAATATCTGAAACATTTCCTCCTACTTTTTCTAATTGCAAAGTACTTGATCAGATCCTCAAAGCTAACCTTCTGTAGTTTCTGTGGTGCCCCACTTCCCTTGAAGCCCAAAGCACGTGCTTGTTTTGCTTAACGGTTAATCTAGCCCTGGTCTTATGACTTAGGCGGTCAGTCATTTTTGTGGAAGTGAGTATCAACTTGGAATGCTAGTTATAGGCAGAATCAAGCTGGGAATGTAGCATGATAGGCAAAGCACACCAAGGCTCCAATGAATAGTAATCAGATGCAGCGCATAGTTAAACAATGGCGCTTGCTCTCCCAGGAGACAGTAATAGCACTAACTTGGTTGACTTTAAAAGATCAGACAAATTCATGGAGGATAGGTCTACCAGTGCCTACTAGCCTGATGGCTATGCTCTGTCTCCCTGGTTGGAGGCAGTATATGTCTGAATACCAGTTGCTAGAAACTGCAGGAATGGGGACTGCTCATGTGCTTGCGTCCTGCTTGCAGGCTTCCCACAGGCATTTCGCTGGCTACTATGAGACCATGATGCTGGACTAGATGGGTCATGGACCTGATCCAGCAGGCTCTTCTTATGTTCTTAATACTGCTGGCAAGAAGGGTAAGGAGAGACTATCTACTCCACAACACTGCTGATTAATCCACACCATTCAGAATCTACACTGTGCCATAAGTGCAGGAACCAAGATGTTAAAGGTGCCTCTAGGGCAAAAATGTAGCAATACACGTGCAGATACTATAGGTTACAGACAAAACAGAGGTAACCCACACCCTAAAATGAGGACCGCCCAATGTACCCTGGCAAAACAGTATTCCCAATTCCAAATACGATAATTGGATCTGCATGTAAAAGTAAAACAAATCTATTCAATTTCCTAAGAAAACTACTATTTGAGTTTGACCCACATCCTAGGGCTCATCCCCCACTTTTGTTCCACATTTTCTAGGCACAGGTCCACACTTTCCCAGTCGGTGTCAAAGTGCTTTTTAATTTTTTTGGTCCCATCACTTTCCCCAGGAAAACCCACTCTCTACTGCTGAATCAAAACAAATGGCAATTCAGGTTTTCCATGGATTGCCATTTGCTCCGATTCAACAGTAGAGAGTGGGTTTTCAGAAAAGTGCCAGGGCAAAGACCAAAGCTGTTGGAAATGGCCTGCAAAGCCCAGACCTGTGCCTAGAAATGTGGAGCAAGATAAGCGTGGATGAGCCCCCATAAACAGCCCAGTGTGCTTTGGCTTCCCCAGTATATGTATTTGCAGGAAAACACAACTGACTGTTGCTTTCACAGGAAGACAGAATACACATTTTTCTTTCATTGACATAGTCTCCAAGCAGAGAAAAAATAAAATCTTGAGCTGGAATTGCTTAGTGATAAATGTCACTACAAGTTAATTCCTCATTTTGGACCAAAACAATTTGGAGTTTGGTAGTTGTTATGCATACAAGAGATTCTGGAAACAGAGTGATTGTAAAAGCAGCAGGAGGAACAGCCTAGGTCTCTGAATGCAGTTGATTCTTAGGGCATTCACATTCTCTGGAAATAGTGATTACATTCCAGAAGGGAACTGCACGTATATAGCCAAGGATCACTTCTGCAACAGAACCATTTACTTTGAACAACATTTCCTTGAAGCTACTCCTCCAAACCATCCCACACCTATTTGCCCTGCAATGGAAAGCTGTTCAGGAAGCAGCATGTCAACTTGCACTATTATTTGCAAAGGGGCAAAATAACACCGCACCTGGGTAAAGTCCAAGAATTTAATGTGCCAGAATGTTTGTACAGCAACATATTTTTCATTTAAGTTACTCTGAATGTGAAAAGAAAAGCCAGTTTCCTTTTGGGCAAGCTACAAATTTCCTCCTTCTTCCATCTCTGTGGAAACAAAAAGGAAGATAATATCACTGAAAACTAAAGTCTCAGGAGATCAATGGCAATATAATGAGATTCTAAAACTGGGTTTATAGTCTGCCAAGAAAATTTTCAAGCTGTGCTCTAGGTATTCAGTTTAATATCCCTCTGTGAGAGTTCCCCACTACCATAATCAGAACTAACCACATTTATTTGGACTCACATTTAATAATTTCAAAAATTAAAAGAATGTAGATGAAATCCAGATTAGAATTTTCTCATTTTGAAAAGCAGTGGAACATACTTCCCACTCAGATAAATGATAACAACTTTTACGTACAATCTACGTATGCCAGTGTTCAACACTGCTTGGTCAACAATTAATAACATTTCCCCCCCAGTTAGCTTCTAAGCCATATCCCAATGCAATTTCCTTTAGGAAACTCAGGTGTTCTCATGCTCAGGGTTGCTATAACTGAGGATGATAAAGAATTTTTCACCAGGTCAAATCTGGATGGAACCCTGGTGAATTTTCGTCTTCCCCCTACAGTGCCCAGTTTGACTTGTTTCACAAGCAGAGCTTAGATTTCCAGGTGCCAGCTAAAAAAATTATGAGTCAATATCACTCTTGGTCTTGAGTCATGTGCAAGTTATCTGATCACTAAACTGCCTTCCTCTTGCTCTTTGCTTGCTTGGTCTGGGCTGTGTAGAGTAGACTGAATGATGGGCAGATGACCCAAAGAAGGTAGAAACAGATACCAAAAGAGAGGTGAGCCTCAAATGTGCTATGAAACCTTTTACTAGAGAAGAACTTTGCTAGGCCTGATGACAAATTATGACCACAATGTGTAACTCTTTATTAGAGGCAGTAGTCATTTCCTATCTCCTGCATGGGCTGTTTCACAGCATGTTTTCAGATTCATCTCTCCTTTTGTGGGATCTGGCTAGATCGCCCAACCTTTTGGCAGAAATTTAGAGCAGAGAGCTTTTGAGGATCTGCCAAGACCAAACAATCAACTCCATCTTATGAGAATGATGCCTACAACCCCTTTTATCAGATGTGGCCCCAGTAATCACTGCTTTGTTACCTTATAAGGCTGGGCAACTGCAATATGCTTTACAGGGCATGCCCTCTACAATGCAAATTTAAACTGGCTACAAACCCTATTTAATTTTCACGGAACTTTAAGAACGCCAATTCTCTTATGGGGCTGCAAGAGTGGTAATTAGAAGCACTGATGAGCTGAAGACCATCATTATTCTTAATGTAATGAGGAGCATTTTTCAAGTACTATAATATGCAGAAATGGCTTTTTAAAATAAATGGTAGTAGGTTTTATTGGAACCACAAACATTTCAAAGTGTGTGTCTCAAGTTTCCATGTATTATATCTCCACAGTAATGTCTGCTCTGGAAGTTGCACAGCAAAGTTGGCAAGCGTATAGTCTGAAGCTTGCATATTTCCCCTGTTAAAATACATAAACTGGAAGTGTGAGGCACTCATGCATCTGCTTGCTGGTATTTCTGGTAAAGCACAGTGTGTCAATAAAATTATTTGCATACAACTTAAGTTCTCTGATTTCCCTAGCTGGAAACGAAGGAATTTGTATTATAGAGATGAATTGTTCTTTGATTATTTGCAAGCTCAAGGTGGCACCAAGTACAGCATACTGTCTTTAGAAGAGGGAAAGTACCTGAAAAAAGATAACATTCATGCCTCTTTATCTGCAATACCATACTTTTACCCTCCGGGCACAATTTAAGGTTCTTTTCCTTTAACCTCTAACATCATTAGTGACTGAAACTCAACATTCACTAACTGACTCCTCCCTTACATCATATCAATATGAATTCAGGAACCTATTTCCTTAAAGTTTTATCAGCTGTGCAGCAGCTGAAAACAACTAGATCATGTAGAGAGGAATTCTTGGTGGCTCCTCCAGGAAGATCAAAGCCCAGTATGTCTTTTGGGGGCGTTGTTAATCTTTCCCTTTTAGAAGGAAAGATTTTTACAGGCTGTGGTTAAGCTGTTAGATGGCCGGGCATTTTGGCACCTAATATGTATTACATGTTTGAACTGATTTTAGAAGACCATAATTTATTTTCCAGTGTATTTTATATTAACGGGACATGTTATACTGTTGTTTTTTATAATCTGTATTTTTTGGGTTGGATATATATCAATACATATATATAAATAAAAATGTGTATGTTTAGGGAAGGGTCATAGCTCTGTGATATAACATCTGCTTTGAATGCAGAAGGTCCCAGGTTCAATACCCAACATCTCCAAGTAGTGCTGAGAAAGAGTCTTTCATAGAATTGTAGAGTTGGAAGTGACCCCAAGGGTCATCTAGTCCAACCCCCTGCAATGCAGGAATCTCAGCTAAAGCATCCATGACAGATGGCCATCCAACCTCTGCTTAAAAACCTCCAAGGAAGGAGAGTCCACAACTTCCCAAGGGAGACCATTCCACTGACAAACAGGTCTTACTGTCAGAACGTTTTTCCATATGTTTAGTTGGAATCTCTTTATTGTAACTTGTAGCCACTGGTTCGAGTCTACCCTCCAGAACAAGAGAAAACAAGCTTGCTCTATCTTCAATGTGACAGCCCTTGAGATATTTGAAGATGGCTATCATATCTCCCCAGAAGCCCTGGAGAGCCACTGCCAGTCAGTGTAGACAATGTTAGGCTAGATTTGGAATAAGGCATCTTCCTATTTAAAATCTGTTTTTATGTCTGTAAGGTGTATATGTGCATGTGTGCTTCTGCTTAAGGTTTGCACTTGGCATACATACATTATGTGAAAATATTTATCAAAAATGCGTTGGTCTAAGTAAGGTCTGTAACATATTTCATATTTGCAATCCATTTACATTTGATACTAGGCTATCATCAGTGCCAAATGTAACATATTTTGAAAAGCGAGCCTTTAATAAAACTGTCAAAAGTGTACTGTTAAGTCCAAGTGACTGCCAACAGAAACTTCTGAAAGGATGTCATTGGAAGGAAAGAAACAATGCTGGGTTTAGAAGTATCCATGGTACTTGTAAAAGTTTCTAACATTATTTATGGATTTCCTATCCACTGACCAGCTAGATTTCCAACAACTGTTCTTGTTGTTCTTTAACGTTCAGTTAAAACCATTGTTACTCCCCTTAAATTGACAGGCCATTTCATTTGTTTGGCATTTGAAGGCGGGGGGAGGCTTGGACATATATCTGAAATATATCCATAGAGACAAGAATGTTTATAGAATCGCATGTGTCAAAACCTTGATTCAGCATTAACTACATTACTCTTGTGAATGCCTTTTCATAAAGCGTGCCTCCAATAAACACAGAGAATGTGTTTTAAAATTCCCCATCAGTACTGTTTCCCTGCCATATCTTTTGTTGAGCTACGTTTGCCCACAATACAAGCCAAAAACATACTAGAAAGCAGCAGTTAGACCAGGGGTAGGCAACCTAAGGTCCGTGGGCCGGATGCGGCCAGTGGCGTAGCGTGGGTTGTCAGCACCCGGGGCAAGGCAAGTAATTTGCGCCCCCTAACCCGTGGATTTGCACCCCCTAACCTGTGGATTTGCCCTAACCGCAGATGTTGCACCCGGTGCGGCCGGGCCCCCCTGCACCCCCCACGCTACGCCACTGGATGCGGCCCAACTGCCTTCTCAAACCGGCCCACAGACGGTCTGGGAATCAGCATGGTTTTTACATGAGTAGAATGTGTCCTTTATTTAAAATGCATCTCTGGGTTTTTGTGGGGCTTGCCTGTTGCTTTTACATGTGTAGAATGTGTGCTTTTATTTAGAATGTATCTCTGGGTAATTTGTGGGGTATAGGAATTCGTTCATTCCCCCCTCCCCAATATAGTCTGGCCCACCACATGGTCTGAGGGATGGTGGACCGGCCCACAGCTGAAAAAGGTTGCTGACCCCTGAGTTAGACCTTTGTTAAAGAGACCTACTTGAGAGAACCATTGTCATTTCTAAACTGCTGTTCCTGAGCAAGATTCCTGAGCCCATTGCATGAAAATTGTGTAAGGGCACAATCAGGGCCAGCTGCAGGTTTGAGAAGGCTCTTGGTGGGCCCTGGAAGCCTTACCTGGTGACAGCAGGTGGGCAGCACGGAAAACAATACCAGGTTCCTGGGTCTAAACACCATTTTGATTTCCTATAATGCCCCCCCCCCAGTAGTGTCCTTCTGGGGCACTGTGGGAAATTAAAATGGTGGTTTGACTCAGCTGTCCAGCTCCACTGAGAGTTCCAGACACAGAAAACATTTTTAAGAGGACTCAGGGCAATAATAGGCCCTGCCAGCTGCCAAGAAGGCTGGATGCTGATTTCGGCTCTGGGCAGTGGCATTGCGTGGGTGGCCAGTGCCCAAAACAAGGCAAGTATGCTTGGCACTGCCAACCAATAGTTGGAATGAAGGGGCAACAGCTTGACCTACTCATGTGGCAGCCCCCGTGAGTGGACAGCCTGGCAGTGAGTAGGACAGAGAATTGGTCGGGAACAGGTATCTTTCTAAAGCCCTACAGAGGGTGTCCTAGGAACTGGCCATCAAATCCACTCCTCAGTTCACCCACATAAACATTGGGAGATTTTCTCTGCGAGGAGGAAGGAACACTATTTTTATTTATTATTACTTTCTTTCTTTCTTTCTTTCTTTCTTTCTTTCTTTCTTTCTTTCTTTCTTTCTTTGAAAATATGCTCCCCTAAGAATTTTGTGTACAGGGCAACCACCCCGTGGCCCTGCCCATGCTATGCCACTGGCTCTGGTTATGAAACCGGAAGGAAGGAAGGAAGGAAGGAAGGAAGGAAGATAAAAGGTAAAGGGACCCCTGACCGTTAGGTCCAGTTGCAGATGACTCTGGGGTTGCAGCGCTCATCTCGCTTTATTGGCCAAGGGAGCTGGCGTACAGCTTCCGGGTCATGTGGCCAGCATGACTAAGCCGCTTCTGACGAACCAGAGCAGCGCATGGAAACACTGTTTACCTCCCGCTGGAGCAGTACCTATTTATCTACTTGTACTTTGATGTGCTTTCAAACTGCTAGGTTGGCAAGAGCTGGGACTGAACAACGGGAGCTCACCGCGTCTCAGGGATTCAAACCACCGCACTTCTGATCGGCAAGCCCTAGGCTCTGTGGGTTTAACAGAGCAAATAACACTGAAGGGCAGCACAAGTCTGTTCGAGGATTTGCCATGAGTTCACTGAGTGGACAGCCGGAGCTTTCTCAAGTGCTTGATCTGTATATAGAGGCAGCAAAGAGACAAAAAACAAAACCCCATTCGCACTTAAAATATCACAGTGTATAAGCATTTCTCGCCGCCCCCTTATATTGGAGATTGTGTAGGTGGAAATTGTAATTCATAAAGTAGCCTTCTCCTTCCTTCCTTCCTTCCTTTCCTTCTTTCCTTCCTTCTTTCTTTCTTTCTTTCTTTTTTTGCAACATCTGGTAATAGCACCCAGTAAAAGCAAAGTTGATAAATAAATAATGATGGCTGGGGTCATGCCATTATTTATTTATTCATTTTTGGTTATTTTTATACTGCCGGTGCAAAGGCTCAAGGTGCTTCACACACACAAATACAAATGGAGAAACAGGGCGGTAGCAAGATGCTTAAAGCTAAGTCTCCTGTATGACTGTGATTCCTGTTTGATTGTCAGGAGTCAGCTAGAAGGAATCCTTAAATTGTCGTGGGATAATGTGTCAGGACAAGCAGGTTTACTAAACTTTCCCTCCCTCTAATCCATTTTAATTTGCAATTTGCATCACTGCAGAAGAAGAGACTTCTGCAGAACAGGAAGTGGTATGTCCGTTTCCCCAGCCACTCTGGGCGGCTTACAGCACATGAAAAATGTAAAACATCAGACATTAACTTCACATCTCTTGGTCATTTTAAGAGGGCACCAATAACAAAATCTCATGCTTCTTGTGTGAAGCAATAAGCACAATTACATGTCACCCATCAAGCAATTTCAAATACTATACTTCATTACATATTACCTGTTGGTATATAGACCCCTCAACAGCTTAAGGGATTGCCTTGCCCAATTTATATTTGCCCTTTTTATAGTATGACTGGATAAGCACTTTATAGGAATATTGTCTATTGTACTTTGTTCTCATTGTTACCTGATTTTTAACTGATTTTAGATGTATTTTGTGGTACTGCAAGACACTTCAAAACGTTTTGGTAAAAAGTGGTTAATAAATGCAGTAAATAATAGCAATAATACCTGCTTGATCTTTACGTTCAGCTCAGAGTAGCACCATAAAAAATGGTGCCACATATGTTTGCCTTGTGAACAAGGCAGAGGGCATTTATTGTATCTAAGTTGTGGCCGACTACTGTTAAGCAAGTGCCACTGGAACATTGTTCAGACGCCTGCTTAGGATGCTTCAGTTTGTACAGAGCTTTTCTGTGCTATAGCACAACTATTGTTTATTGTGTATTATTGTCAAGATGCTAAATATTTTTTGCTGTTTTATGAGTGTACTGTATTACATTGTTCTAGACACTTTGCTTATTGTGTGGTATATAAAGGTGTGAGGAACCTTTACCCCCCACATGTTGTTGAACTCTATCATTCCTGGTCATGGGCCATGCCTGCTGGGGCTGATGGGAATTGTAGTTCGTCAACATCTGGTTATAGTTGTTCAACGATATCAAATAGCAAATGGCAGAATGGATGGGGTTATGAAACCTAAGAAATCCACTGATTCAGATCTTATCAGATGTGCAGAAAATCCAGAAGACAGATTTCACTTAACCTGCGCAACATGTAGGCCCTACAAGATGGGCGACCAACTGTCATGGAACCTTTAGTTGAGGTTCCAGCATTGCAAGGGATTTTACTAGATGACCCTCAGGGGTCTCCTTCCAACTCTACAATTCTATGATTCTGATACCCTTCTTAGCAAGGCCACAACTGCTCACTCCTAGAGGTAGGTGGCAGGTTTTGCCCTCACTGTCGCATTGCCCACAAGTGCTTGGATTTACCATTCGCCAGGAACTAATGACGTCGCTAGCCCACAGCTGCGTGGCCAATGACACCATCCCATTTGCTCACGGACGCATTGGCTCGCTGCGCCCCTTGCCCCTGACACACACGCAGGACCTCCCGTCGCCCCTCAGAGGCGGCGGCTGCTTTGTGCATGGGGGGGGGGAGCCCTGAAAAGAGGCTCAACCTGCTCAGGCAAGCCTCTGAGCGGGGAGTCTTCCGGGTCCCTTCGGGCTGGCGGTGCCAAAGCTGCTGCTGACGGGGCTGGAAGAGCCACTCACCGTCGCCCGCTTGCTGCTGGCTGCCTCCCTTTCGTCCTCGCCTGGCTGGCGTTGTGCTGGAAGAGGCAGCATTTTCCCGTCAGGGGGCGACGTGAGGAGGAGGAGGCGGCGGCAGCACGGAGGGGCGGGTGCTATGGGTGACAGGCGGTCACAGGTGCCGCGGCCGCCTCTTGAGTCGGATGAGAGGCGCCTCCGCGCCCCAACCAGCTGCCGCCGCTGCTCCCCTCCCTCCACCCTGCGCGCTGCTGCTGCTGCTTCAGCCGTCAGCCAAGGGCAGCTCTTCCGAGGCGGCGCGTGCAGGGACAGCAGCACGAGCCGAGCAGCTGCGCGCGAGGGAGCCGGGGAGAGAGACTCGCGCCTGGCAGAAACCAGTAAGTTGCTGCTCCTGCGAGCAAGGGAACGGCTGGCGCTGGCGCTGCAGCCGCGGCGATCTGCTTACTTATTGTTTTATTTTGCATCTCCTCGCCCCGTGAAATCGCGGGGAGGGCAGGAGCGGCGCGTTGCATGCGGGCTTGGATCGGCCCGGGCTGGAGTCGCGGAAGGGGTTGTCGCGAGGCCACGGCGAAGACGACCGGCTGCTCTCGGCTTCGACACACGCGCAGCCCCCCGCTGCGTTTGGTCTTTTCTTTTTGGCTCAGGCAACGGGGAGTGAGGATTGCGCGGGGAGCCGCCCAGCGCTGTAGGATGGCTCCTGCTTTGTGTGTGATGTCAGTGAAGAGCGGAGTCGGAGATATAACGGGAGGGTTTTGCGAATGGTGGGGAGAGGTAAGGGGGGGGGCTGTTAAGGTGACACAGGAGCCAGGCAGGGCAGGCTCTGAAGCGCGTGTAGCGGCTGCAACGCAGAGAACAGGCGCAGTCCAGCCTGGATAGCCTCGCAGAATGGACACCCCCGTATCGCAATGCAAATAGGGGGCCCTCTAGGGAGAGATTGTGCGCGATCTGCACATAATTTTAATGCGGCGTTTTTGAGAATGAGGGGAAGAGATCTGGGGTTGTGTATCTGTGTCTTTTGTGTGTTAACGGGCAGGAAATCTCCCAAGCCACCTTCTTACAAATTCTGTCCTGTGTAGAAATTGTCTGTAATTTCCAGGCGGAGCTTTACAGTGAATTGTGCCTGCTGTCGGTGAGCAGAATCGGTGCATAACCAGATATGAAATTCTAAAGCTGATTTACTGATACCCACACACTGCATGATTATTTATTACACTTCTCATACCACTCTTCCTCTAAAGAGCCCAGGAAGATGTACATGGTTCTCTTGTCCCTCTCCTTTTATCCTCACAACAATCCTGCAAGGTAGTTTAGGCTGAAGGATGGTGGTGCACTGTCAAAGGGTACTTATGTATTACAGTGTACTTATGTATTACAGTATTTCAGGGCTTGGTATGGATTTGAACCTAGTTCTTGCTAGTCCTCAGCTGACATTCTAACCACCACTATGCCAGTTTTGCTTTTCTGATTATTATTTTTTAATGTTGTGACAGTTCACATCATCAAGCTTGATACCAGGTACATTGACCAGTAGCTGCCCTGTTTTGTAAGCTTTTACATTCATCGAATGAATAAAAATCAATGTGCAGATCCCTCTTTAGCAAAAGCCAGGCGGGCAGGCATGCAACCCATTTTCATGCACCAATGTTGTCATTCATTAGCGCACACGTTAGAGGAGGAGCTCAAACAGGGACCTGGCTTCTTTCATGGTAGTAAAACTAATGTGTATGCTGGTTGTTTCTTTTTTAATTATTTTAAAACCCTGCGGATTTTGTTTTCTCTGAACCGTATCCAAATGTAAATTGCAAGTCTTTGCTTCAGGAGTCCGTTGTATTTTCTTTTCTTTCTTTTTTATAAAAAAATCAATATTTTCAATTGTGCACTTTTGGACGAACCAATTTAAAATAAAAGGTTGCTCTCTTACTGAATTACTGCATAGTCAAGCAGCTGTGACCTTAATTGCCTTAAAGGAGATACAGAACAGAAAACCTGGAGTGAGTGCACAAATCCTGGAAGATAGGCTAGAAGTAGCCCTTACACATGCGCAACTACCATATTTCTGTTAAATCAGCTGACATTTATTTTTCCAGCCATGCTGTGGAGGTGGACATTAATTTGAGAGGACATGTTAAATGGAAAGGGGTGTTACCTTAACTCTGCTGTGCTTGCTCTGCCCTTTTCATAGAATCCTTAATTAGGTCTTTGCTTCCCTGTTTGCTGTTCTGTCAGCTGTAGTTTATGGGCGTTTTTGCATCTGAAGCTTAAATCAGGTTGTGCTTAAATTGGCCTCTAATATTAATGTAAAACATTAGCTATAATGTACACTTGATTTACCTTCCTTAATGTAGGACGGAATAACAGCATTTGTATGTGGTATACAAATAGTACTGAAGGACTCATAAAACTTAAGTAGTGCCTTTCTGGATCAGAGCAGAAGCACTGTATTCAGTCTTCAACAGCAGCCAGCCAGATGTTCCTGGGAATCTCACCAAGAGGGCAAGATGGTCTCTACTGTTTGATCCCAGTTTCTGTTTGGCTGTTGGGTATAATAGCCATTGATAGACATCTCCCCCCATGGATTTGTGGGCTCCTTTAGAAATATTAGCATGCTAAATTGGGATGCGGGTGGCCCTGTGGTCTAAACCACAGAGCCTAGGGCTTGCCGATGAGAAGGTCGGCAGTTCAAATCCCCGCGATGGGGTGAGCTCCCGTTGGTCGGTCCCTGCTCCTGCACACCTAGCATTTTGAAAGCATGTCAAAGTGCAAGTAGATAAATAGGTACCACTCTGGCGGGAAGGTAAACGGCGTTTCCGTGTGCTTCTCTGGTTTGCCAGAAGCAACTTAGTCATGCTGGCCACATGACCCGGAAGCTGTACACCGGCTCCCTCGGCCAGTAAAGCGAGATGAGCGCCGCAACCCCAGAGTCATCCGCAACTGGACCTAACAGTCAGGGGTCCCTTTACCTTTAGAAATATTAAGCTGGTGGCCACCATAGCATCACTCTAGCTTGTTTGTTTGCTGGATTTAGAGCCCAGCCAATCCCAAGGACTCAAGCGTCAATAATTATATTAATGTAATTTATTCATCCATATCCCTGTCCACCCAAACCCAATTTGAATAAAGCTTTCAATCTTACACCACTTCAGCTCAGAGTTTGGTGAGCTTCACAATCTCAAAGTTGTGTGGCATGCCTTAGTGTGACTCTTGTAGGCCCAGTTTGGCACTTTGTATTTTAGAGAGAGTTCCTGATTGGTCTTGGAGGACAGGGTAGGACCTAACACTGCAGATAGTTTCCTAGGTTTGTGGGGCCCTGACCACTTAGTGAATCCTGTAAGTTAACTATGGGTTGCGGCGGAGTACTTATTTCCCTTTATTAGTCCTTTTTAGTGTCACATGTGAAAATTGTGATTTCCCTTAAAACTAGGTTTAGCCTCATTCTCTCCACAAATATATAGCTCCTTTTAGATGCAGTGTGCTTTACTATGTTAATTACAGTTGGGATACAGCTAGTAAGTTGTCAGGGTGTCATCTTGTCAGAGTGTGTGTTAATTTCATTCATTCCATTCCCTTTGGCAGTTTTCCTACATTCACTCTCTATTCTTCACACTCTACTAGTAGGGCTTCCATTTATAGAGAGATGGCAAATATATCTGGTGCAATCAGGGAGTGGCATTCAGTTAGACTCAGCTAGAAATGGGCTTTTAAAGGAATACTTGGGCAGGAAATGTGTAAAAACTGGAGTCATTTGTTGTACCCATTTGTCCAAAATTCATAATTGTCCACTGTACAAGGAAACAGGATATTGTTCACAGAGAACAATAAGAAGCTTTAAGAAGTCTCTTAGTTTCTTGCTGCTTCAGCAGGGAAGGCTATCATTGTCTGTGTGACTTTCACTGATTATTGTCTAGTACTCTAAATTGATGCCATTTGGATTACTTGTTCTCACCAACTCCCAGTCTTTTTTACGCTTTGATCCTAAACAACATTTGCTTGGAATAGAGGTCATCAGCCCCTCACAAGATGCTGTGTGTAGTATTCTCATGTTGCAATTTTGAATACAGCACACCGCTGTTAGAAAACCAGGAGGTTCATACAATTTGCAGTTATTGAGACATGTTGCAATAATAACCACAAGCTGCCTTCCTGCATACCTTTCTGCAAGTGTAACATATAAAAAGCAGGAGAGGAGTAGCAGTTGTAAAGCTAGGAATGTATGGCAAATGCTCTGTGTGAAGCCAGAAGAACTGGAGCATATCTCTACACTACAAGCTTATAGATGTCTTAAGTATCGTTACTTCCCCCAAAGAATCTTGGCAACTGTAGCTCAGTGTGTGTGCCGGGAAGTACAGGAAGGAGGTTCCCACACAGTACTACAATTCCCAGAGCTTTCTCGAGACTGTAGTGCACATATGGCCAGCATTATTAATTGAACAACCTCTTCGATCAGCAAACTTCATCATATTTCTGCTCCCTCCAGGAAGCTGGATTCTTTGAAATACGTCAAGCAATGTACAGGTGGTCCAAAACTCACACACTACGGCAACCTTCACCAGCCTGTGCCCTCCTGATGTTTTGGACTTTGGCTAGGGCTGGTGGGAGTTGTAGGCCAGAACATCTGGAGAGCGCCCAATTGGTGAAGGCGGCACTACACAAATCATCTTATGCTATGCAAAAGTGGAGGTAGAACCACCCTGCTCTGCCCTACTTTCATAGTAATCCCACTCCTACTAGGAATCTTGGGATGAGCCCAGAACCTCCATAAAGGAAGGTCAAGATCATAAAGCTGAGGTCAAGTGGGGCACGGATTGAATTTTATGCGCTTTTTGGAACAAGGAGGAAAGTTTGCACTCAGCCTGGGAGACAGCCTTTTTATTTAACAACTCATCTGCTAGCCAGAGGCCACCAGGAATTCTGCACAAGCTCTGAATGAGCTGGCAAGACATGGTACTCCATTTTCCTCCTCCGGGTTGCTTGGTTGAGCAAGGAAGGAAAGTGAACCCCTCAGTGCAGTCCCTTCTCTGCCAGCTCACTTGGGAGAATACACCTTTTGCTTTCTTTCTGTTTGACTAGCCTGTTAAGAAGCCATTGACCTGGATTTTCATGCTGGATGT